CATAAAACAACTCATAGCGAGTTATTTATACAATAACCGCTCTTATGAGTTATTTTACCAATAACTCATAGGAGTTATTTTATAATAACTCAAAAGATGTTATTTTACAATAATTCGCTCATTTGAGTTTTATTGAATCAAACAGTCCATAAACGAGATGATCAATTATCTTTTTCTTGAACCAATTAGGATTTAAATAAATAATTAAAATTGCAATTAATTCAAATATATGGCCACTAATGATTATATAATTAATATATATTATTAATAAATTTTGCGACTCGCAAAGGTCTCAAATATTTAATTATTCTAACATTGAACTACAAGAAGTTAATGTATAAAAATAGGTTCAATACTTATAGATTAATAACTAATTGAAATATAAGTCTATGCTTATGTCATCATCAATTAATTATCATAAAACTTTATAAAATTTCTATCCAAAATTTATACGATTCATTAACAAAGTACACGTCCCACAACTGTTGTATCTATTTGATAGGTTCGAAACCCTGTCGGGACTCCTATTGATCCGTTATAGAAGGGATCGGGGTTTTGTAGGCTTTCATGCCTTTGTACGAAATTTTCTTGTTAAAGCCTTATTGAAGGCCGAATTTGAAGTTGTAGACGCCTTCTGTCTGCTTGTATCAGTGTTGCGATCGTGGCGAGCATTCGTAGATCATAGACGCCTTTCTGTCTGCTATGTATTAGTGTTGCAGATCCGGTGGCGTTAGATTTTGATGTTTACTCCCTCTTTCTCAATCACCGGGGAGAGTTTTCTTTTGGACTTTTGAAATCCACTGATTGTCGCTTTGCTTTGAGGAGATCTCCCTTTGAGGAGATCTCCCTCTTACTAATGTCATTATAAAGTGGACACTTCAACAATAGAAAGAATCAAGTTCTTGGCTTCTTTGGCATGCCATTATCTTTTATTAAGAGAAAAATAAAAATAAAAATAAAAATGTTTTTTAGTAAGAAGAATTGGGCTGGGTAGTGACTTAAGCGGGCTAGGCTTCCTTTTGTCCCATTGGGAAAACGGAGAAGCCCATATGCTGGAAAGCAAGTCCATGTCAATTGTATTCCATAGCTTTAATAGTCGTACAGATTGTTGCTTTTATCGTTAAGTAAAGCAATTGCATGTTTGAAATGTTATTTTTTTTTTTTTTGGAAAAATATGGAAATGTTAAATCTGTTGGAAAAATTAGTATAAAACTCAATAAATTAGATGGGGGCAAGGCTTTTAAAATCGGATTGGATCGGCTGGTTCAACCGGTTGAACCGCAAACCGGCTGGTCTGCCGATTAAGTTTCAAAAGAAAATCGATTTTGCATAAAACCGAGATTATCCCGCTCAAACCGACGGTTTGACCGCCGAACCGGTTTCGCATAAAATCGGTTTTAATTTTGTTCAAATTTTGTTATATATTTACAAATAATTGTGTCGTAATTATAATATTTAAATATAATAAGTATTTATTACGTAATCCAATTTGACCTCGTGGAACCGACAATCTCTCCTTCTAGTTCATTGTCTGGTCTGAATTTCAAAGCCTTGGATGGAGGAGCTAAAGTGAAGCACTGATTGGAAGATTATATTAGAAGTATTGAATTTTTTTAGGGGGTTTTATAAGATTTTCATATAAAAATGAATGATTTTTAAAAAAATATATTAATTTGATCACATTTAAATGAATTTCTGTATCTGCTAATGCTGCCGAAGAGATGCACGTCAATTTTCTCCATCGTAAATGACATGCCCTCAATCAATTATGATAAGATTTATTAATGAAAAAAAAAGCATCATAATATTCAAAAAAACATTTTTTATCAATATCAATCTCAAAGTTATTAAGGGGATGTTTCGTTGGAGGAAAAGTGAATGCAAAGCATAGTAAATACTTTACTTTTTCACTTTTTCGTGTTTGGATGGTTACTACGTAAAACAAAGTAAATTCGTAATGCATTCCTAACTCTCCACGGTAGTGCATTTTTGACATAAAGCGAACCCGCTCAAAATCGAGCGAAAAAGGAATTTGGCGGGCATAGGTGGAAAAGGTGGTGCGTCGAGCAGGTGGAGGTGAGTTTGCTCGTGTGAGACTGGCGTAGGCGGGATGGGAGATGTTCGTGCGTGGAGTCGGTAAAGGTGGCTGGGTACGCTCGCATGTGCTGAAGCCGGATGTTACAGACAAAGGCGGGTTCTCTTCCTTGTGCGATAGTTGGATGGTACATGGAAAGGCAGTGTTGGGTCAAACAACAACACAGGGGGACAAGCATAGGTAGCATGTGTGGATCGTTCTCATGTACGTGGAGTCAGAGCAGTCGAAGGTGGAATTTGGGATCGAACAAGAAGTTGTATTTGATTGCTCGATTGCGGTCGGTGGGATGAGCAAAATCGTGCTCGATTGTTCCGAGGAATGCCTTTCCGCTTATGGTTGCATGATTTAGCAACTATGTGCGGGAACCTGGAGAAGCAACGTGTGTGTTATGTTGGGGGAAATGAGATGATTTTATTATACTATGTAGGGGTGTCAATTTCGGGTCACGTGTCGGGTTCGGGTCGAACCCGGAACTGACCCGGGTTCAAACGGGTCGACCCTAACCCGACCTGGGAAGACAAACGGGTTGGAAATTTGAACCCGGACCCGACCCGGTTGGTGGCTGGCGGACGACACCGGACCGCGGCGGAGCGCGGGCGGGCGTGCAGCGGGCAGCGCAGGCGCGCGGGCAACATCGGATCGGGTTCAACCCGGATTTTCCAGGTCGGATTTTCGTGTCGTGTCAAATATTGACACCCCTAATACTCTGCATACACCCAACAAACATAAAAAATAATTCATTTGCTTTTCTTTTACAAACAACCTCAAAGATTTTACTTTACACTACATTCACTTTACAGCCAATCAAACATCTTCTAAATTTATTTTGAGATGAATGCAATATAAAATTTGATTGATTATATATGTACTATACTCATCAAAATTTTGAAGTTGCCATCGAGAATTAGAATTTGTGTTTACAATCTTCATCAACCTAAAATTTATAAAAATGTGCATCGATATTGTGAGAGACAATAAGCAACATAGTTCGCAGACATCCACATTGTTGTTAACAGTGTGTATCAATCTTATAGACGGTAACATTGACTTTATAAAGAGAGTCATGCTAATTAAATGTTTGGCTCAACTCAGATTCTAATCAAATATTTTAACCCATATAATAAACGGGTTCCATATCAAACAAGCCAATTCAGACCCGGGTCTTGTGGGTTCTCACCAAGAATATTTTGATTAGACTCACATTATATTTTTTATGTTCATGTAAGTTTGAACAGCTCCGTTCAATGCATGCCGACATGCCCACCATTTTTTTTTTCCTGTAAAAAGCTTCTCGCATACGCAATCCTCATAAATCCAATGCAAATTTGTTTTTGTTGGTGGCAAAATGGCTTTTCAGTGTCATTTTCAGTTTTTAAAAATGTAAAAAAAAAAAAAAAAAGATTGTCACAATGATTTAGCTCTATTTATTAATTCAATAAAGTTATTAACTAAATACTCATTAGGTGATTTGGGATTAATTTTTATTATTTTGAATTTTGAAAATGGATTTGAAATTTGGATAAAATTTTGCAGGAATTTCACGAAATTTTATTCCCAATTCCCATATGTTGATCAAAGTTTTATTAAAATTGGTGCAATAGTTAGTTACCTTAGTAATAATCTTATTAAATTTTGCATTTTAACTTGGCTGTATATTCATAAAATAATACTGAGTTTAATCTTTAAAAGAATGTTCATCCTCATTATAGAATTAGGTTTGAGATGTCTAAAATATTATTAGGTGATTGTAGGCAATCGGTTTGATCATTCTCCTTCTAGGTAGGAGATAATGTGAAAATAAATTAAGACATACATTAGATTTTAATGATTGGCATAAATCAAGTGTCATCCATTGGCAAGCAACGAGTGTCGATCATTATCATGTATTTGACAGCATTTGACTGAAAATATTGGATATTGGATAATGAATGAGTGTTATTTATGGTCATCTTTTTATAAAAGGGTGATAATGACTCAGAGAGTGTGTGTTAGATATTAGTAGGCAAATATTAAATAGTATCATATATTGGACATCAATAAATAAGGATCAATGATCATCAGGCGATTGTCAGTAATTTGTTTCGTCATTATCCTTACATAGAAGGAGATTGATGATCATGAAGATGGGTAATAAATGTTGGATGTTGGACATTAGCAGACATCAGATGATGGTTGAATGAGAATGTTGATAGTTGATAATATGCTTAGTCGTTCTCCTTACAGGAGGATCAACAAGGCAAGCGAAAAATATATATGGCTAAAAATTTCAAATATTTGTAAGCTTTAGAATGAAAAAAGTAAACCAAAATTTTAGTGTTGTTATTAATAGAAATGAAGAGAAATTGAGATTTTTTCTTCTTTTAAAGGAGGAGAGGGATTGAATGATTCAAAGTTAATGGTTGACATAAGGAGGTCATCTCCTAAACAATGAAGGAATAAATCATCCCAAAATTGGTGGGAAATTAAGGGCAATCAAGTCAATTAGTTTCTTAATTAAAGGAGGAATTGAATGACTTGAAGTCAATGACTGGCTCAAGGTAGATGAGTAATTAGCCCTTAGCTCTAATGTGAAGGAGGAATGTATTGGATAATGTAAAGTTAATAAGTGACTTAGGTTATGACGATTTCACTTTTAAAATGAGAGAAGTGGTTAACGCAACTTTAATTTTGAATAGGTCATCCATCCCATAATTTTTCCAGGACGAGCACGCTAACTATAAAGTTTTTTTAATGAAATTTCAAACATTACACCAAAATGTGCCTCGATGTTTAAGAAAATTGGGAAAAGATAATAATAATGTTAATAATACATATCCTAAAAAAAGTGATATATAATGAGAAAAGTTTTTTATGTGTAGATATATAACTCTATCTACTTTTATCATTAATTTCTCCCTTTAGTATATTTTATTGCAAGAAAAACACCATAATTTATTTATTGCATATTAATAAAAGCTTATAACTCGCTACCTTTGCTCTTGCTAAAGGTAGAAGAACAAAATCAGAATATTACATCTTCCTAATGCCCATTGCTTAGGCCTCGAAAGACACCAACCTAAACTCATAAAACTAGAACATTTAAGACAAAAGAACAACATATATTTCCTATAAACTATAATTCTCACGCAAAATCATAGCTTAAACAATCTTAATTGGTCTTCCTACAATTCAGCCTGATCTGCCCTTGGGTTCCTGTAAGAGGACTGATATCTCCCATCTTCACAATCGCCACCGCAAAGTCGCTGGCAAACTTCGAAGGGTTGGAGTTATAGCTGCTCACCTGAGAGTCAGTGGATCCGCCATTAAAGAGCTGCTGATCTGAATGCATAAGCCCCTTCTTGTTCACCAAGTTATTATAATAGTCGTTATCGAACGTTGTGGGAGTCTGCAAATCAAGAGGGGAGAGATTGTTATCTCCGCCTGTGCTGGGGCAGTTGCTCTTCACAGAGCTTGCGAACGAAGCGTCGATGTTGGTCTCATTGTAGATACGAGATCGAAAGACTGTGCATCTCGCTTGGCCAATGGTGTGAGCTCCTGCACATATAAAAATTAGGATTAGAGTTTGCTATGACACAGCAAGATAGAAGAAAATGTTGTGAAGGTTTTCAAGTACCAGAGAGGGTAACCATGTCTGTTGTGGAGAGGCCTTTCTTCGAGAAAGATGAAATGAGAGCACTTAGGTTTGAAGCTGGGCTGGGAATGTCGCTGTTGGCTTGGCTCAAGCTGGCTGTGGTTGAGTCTCTTCTCCCAAGTTTCACTGTCCATGTTGGCCCGCCAAGCTAAAATAAGCCAAAAAAATGTTTAAGTATAAGATATGGTTTATGATTACACTATTTTTTTATGGAATTATATACAAAATTGAATTTAAATATATAACATTTTTTTTTTTAAGTTTAATAATAATTAAGACTTATTTTGAGACAGCATTCATATAATTTTATAGAATAGATTCTTAGTATTTTTCTTAAAGAAAATTTTGTATTATAAAACTACTTTAAAAGCATTAAGTAAAGCTATCACAACGAAGGATACATTTTTTTTTCTTTCTTTTTTAGGAGAGATTATTACATGCGGTCTTCAGATCGTCAGGTGACCAATCACGACGCACCACGTCACTGGATATGCAGTAACGATACGTAGTGTTTGGTGACATGGTACGTCGTGATTGACACTTTCGGATGGAGTCTAATGACCACATGTAATAATTTCGCTTTTTTTGGATAGTAACTGTAATTTCATTTATTTACTTCTTTTTTGTTACTTTCTTAATGTTTTTTAGATATTTCAATGATAAGAAGTAATATTTTTCAATCAAAGTAGTTAAATTATTTGCTCCAAATAACTTCATAACATCTTTATAAAACATTGGGCGGTCCCCAGGCCAAAAAGAAATTATATAATAATATGAATAGTTTGATTAAAATATAATTTCCAACTCAAATAAATAAATTTATAATTTCAGATCTATAATATAAATATATTAGTAGCGTGTGCTTGACACCTTCCTCTTCTGTAGTGTTCCTATCTATGGTTGGATCTAATATCTTCCACCAGTTAATTAATAATTTTTAGACTTTAAATTTAATTGTAATTTTTATCCTCTTATTTTTAATTTTGCATAAAAAGGATGTGCTGGACTTTAGTGCACCTAACCTTGTTGAAAAAAAATGCAATAATGAATAATGTTAAGGACTTAAATGCATATTTTAATTTACCTTGCATGTTGTTAGAGTAAAGGAAGTAAATTTATCATCAATTGTAAGGCAACTTTGCCTTCCATCTAATAGAGTTAAAGTGGAGAAAAAGATAATATATAAAAATCTTCATAATTCTTACACAAAAAAGATATAAAAAATTATTATTTTTTCAAAAATATATTTTTTATCTATGAATTCTACATTAACCATAAATAATATTTAATTTCTCACCGCAACGACGGAATCACGAGCAGCAACGGCCAGAATATCAGCACATGAGACAGTCTGATTGCAAACAGCTTCAACTTGTTTCTTTATATTATCGACCACATCAAAACCCCTAAGTGAGTTTTGATTTGGTCCGGCAGTCTTCTCTCCGGTGAACGAGGAAGTATCATCCAATAGAACTGAGCCATCACAACCCTGTTAATCAAGTCATTATATCAGTATATTTGTCAAATAATCATCATATCATGATAAGGTTTAATAAATTAAGCCATTTTTATTGATGAGGCTAATCACCTTATCACATCTCATTTTGTTAAGATGTGTCGTCTTTCAAACTCGGGATTTATTTTCTATTGGAGTTTATCGTCGAAGAAGATAAAATATTAATATTAAATAGTTTTTGTGTCATGAGATATTTTTTAGTAATCATTTTTTTATTTTATAAAATAATTTAAAAAAAAGTAATTGCAACTAATTTTTTAAAGAAAATACGATCATACAAAATAATTAAAGCTGTTCTGTGGTTCAGAAATAAGTATCTTGCAGTCTTATTCAACTTCTCTAACTTCCAATATTATGAGTGATTTTCTTAGTTTTCACACCTTTGTTAGTCTTGATATTTAATTAAGTAGGTGAACTAATCAAACATCCTGCATTAGTTGGGAATAATTAGGAGAGCTTATCAAAATAAGCTTATTTAACTTGTGTTATTATATTAGAATATTTTGAACTGAGAATATTAGGGGGTAAATAAGTCTACTTATTGCCTAATTAATTGAGCTAAATTCGTTTAATTTATATTCGCTCGACTCGAGCTCATTCACAGAACTCAAATTGACTCATTTTGGAGCTCGTTCTCTTGTTTCCGAGCTTGAACTCGTATAATATACGACCACAAATTTAAGCTTGACCTCGAATTTGTGGCAAGATCTACTCGATGGCTCATTAAGGAGCTAGCCGAGTATGAGCTTATCAACGAGCTGACTTGGCTCACTTAGAACCCTAGCTGTTCAGATACTGGAAGTCAAGCCATTGAAAAATGCCTGTGCTTTTACACGGATTTTAACAATTTTATAATCATAAGAAAATACTATGAATTCTCCTAATAAAACAAAGAGAGTAGGATACTATCAAATCCGCTAACAATTAATATCTGCTAATTACTATTAAATTAAGTTAATAAATCTTCATTACAAAAGATTAAGAACTTAGAGGTGTAATTAAGAAGCAGAGAAGCTTGATTAGTAATGAGATTAACGATACTGTACTTGGACAAAGCAGTCATGAAAATGAAGGCGAAGCAGCGACGCCCCCATTCTTTTCTCATTCGCCACAGCAGATTGAACTGCGGCTTTAATGGTTGAAAGAGCGTTTGGGCACGAAGTATCATAGAATGTTGAAGATAGCTGAGCTGAAGCTACTGCTGCTAATGCTAACAGCAAAGCCATTAACAAAGGAGAAGAAGCCATTGATTCTATATGACTTTGAGAGAGAGAATGAAGGAGATGATGGAAGCTGGAAGAAGTTGCTTTTGAGATTGTGAGGAAAGAAGCTCTCCTCATGCGATGTATTTATAGTGCAAAGTGATCGTTAAGTCTTTACAGATCGACTAGTCAAAGAAGTAAAAATTAGCTTACGAGAGAGAGAGAGAGAGAGAGAGAGAGAGAGAGAGGCTCACAGTACAAACTGGCGTGTTTTTGAAGACTGTAACTGAAGGTTTTATATAAATATTTAAAAAAGTAATTTTTTTCCCCCAAAAAAAAAATAAAGAAGTATTTTATTATTATGATATTATTGAAATCTATGATTTTTTAAGTAAAAATAATTAATAGTTAGGGTAGCTTAAGTTTTCTATTTTTGCTTTTAAAAGCTTCTTCAACCACAGTTTAAAAAATATTTCATCAAAAATAATTTTTTTTTTCAAAACAAAAGTTAAAAAAAAAAAATAAAAAAGCTTCCTTGCAAATTGATATTACTTTTCACTAATATATTTGTTTTCATTAAAATGATTGAAAATCACTTCCAAACAAGCCTAAAGGGAGATTTTGTTTGGGACGATTTTTTTATTGATTCTTAAAACATTTAAAAAAAAATAAAAAATTTTTATATTAAAAAATTGATTTGAGAAATAGTAAAAAGCCTTAGTTGATTAATATAAGGTGCAGGTGTTCCTGATTGTAATTGTGTAAGAAGTTTGAGCTACAATTTTTTTTTTTTTTTAATTCAAGCTTGTTGTGTGAATAAAATAATCTTAGTAATTGTAACAAAATTATTTACAAAATTACAAGTCTGCCACTGTTATATCATGGGTCATGCCAGACAGCCTGGAATCGAGATGAAAATTACACGTCTGCCACTGTATTGGGGTTTTATATAAATATTTAAAAAAGTATATTATTATTATTATTATATTATTGAAATCATGATTTTTTTAAGTAAAAATAATTAATAGTATAATTTAGGGTAGCTTAAGCTTTCTATTTTTGCTTTTAAAAGCTTCTTCAACCACAGTTTAAAAAATATTTCATCAAAAATAATTTTTTTCAAAACAAAATTAAAAAAATAATAAAAAAAGCTTTCTTGTAAATCAATATTATTTTTCACTAATTATTTTTTTATCATGAAAACAGTTGAAAAGCACTTCAAACAAGCCTAAAGGGAGATTTCATTTGCGACGATTTTTTTATTGATTATTAAAACAATTTTTTAGTTTAAAGATTTAAATTTTTTATATAAAAATCTGATTTAAGAAATTGTAAAAAGCCTTAGTTGATTAATATAAGGTGCAGGTGTTCCTGATTGTAATTGTGTAAGAAGTTTCAGCTACAATTTTATTTATTTTTTTAATTCAAGCTTGTTGTGTGAATAAAATAATCTAAGTAATTGTAAGTAACAAAATTACAAGTCTGCCACTGTTATATCATGGGTCATGCCAGACAGCCTGGAATCGAGATGAAAATTACACGTCTGCCACTGTATTGGATTCACGCGTTTGCTTTTGGAAATTTGGACTTTTTTTTTGTGTGTGGATAGAATAATTCAAAGAAGGTAGGAAAGGGCTGATCGAGTTAGGCTTTATAAGGCTGCTTACATAATCTGACTGCGAATTTTCTTAGGTAAACAACTGAGTCTATAGCTACTAAGTTGATAAATTGTTCTTAACATTTGATATGTGGCTATAGGAGAATTCAATTGAAAGCATGTATTTTGATGCAGATTGAAATTAATACTTTTAAAATTAAATTATAGAACATATAAACTCTAATTTCAATAAGCTTATACTCAAAATAAATGACTCGATGAAACAAATCTAATGACACCAAAATTGATATAGTCTAGTCCAAATGAGCTCGAACGTATCAAGAACGAAATGTAGTTTTAGACTTCACGATGTTAATTGAAAGACTAAATGATCTGTGAATTTCAAATGCTTACAGTCGAATTGAGCCCATTATCATTTTTTTTTCAATGTGCCCATTATCATTTTTTTCTGATCTCATTAAAGCATTTAAATGCTAAAAGAATTGTGTATGATACAGAAAAATAGTAGATGCCATTCGATGAAGTATTTTAAGACTTTAATCAAAATAATTAAAATGTCATTCTATAAAATTATAAATAGACTATCAATTTCTACATGAAGATAGAGAGAAAGAGTAGAGATCTTAGAGACTTGGACCACCACAAAAAATTTGTTGTTGAATTGTTGCTATCCGACCACCATTATAGGACTATCATCGACTAACCAATAATTTCAAGTCAACACTCTCAGAGCAACAAGAATAAAACAAATTCGTAATTACCCGTTCCTGTAGCCACTGTATTACCATACTTTAATTTTCTTTATATACCTGTAAATTGGCTCTGTAAATGATAAAGTAATAGAATTCTTTTCCCGCTTATCTCTCTCCCTTTCTCTCGGTTCTGAGATTCAAGATAGCTAAACATTTCTACATGGTATCAGAGCAAGGCTCACTGATCCAGGGAAATGAATGGCCACATCCGGTCTCTCGCAACCCTCTGAACAAACCGAGACGACAATCGCCTCAACTCTGGCGATCTCCTCCTCGCTCAAGTTCGTCCTCTCGAATCTTAAAAATATTATTCAGAATCCTCTCTCTGCTGATAACTAGCATCTATGGAGATCTCAGATCTTCAAGATCTGTCGTGCCAATGGGTTTGCATCATTTCTTGATGACAAAAATCCCATACCATCACCGTCTTCTACTCAATCCGATGGCACAACACGGCAAATCCAGAATATGCACAATGGCTGCTCACAGATCAGAATCTCGCAGCAGACATCTGCTCTACAATCTCGGCATCCATTCTAACGTATGTATTGCACCTCGATTCATTGTCGGCAATATGGCAGAATCTTGAAATTCGGTTTCAATCTACGTGTCGCTCCAAATTCATACAACTCAAGAATGAGTTGTATCACATCTCGCTCAAGAACTCAACAATGGTACAATATCTCAACGAAGTCAAGACTCTCGTTGATCAAATAGCGGCGGCTGGATCCAGCATCGATCCGGAAGAAATAATTTTGCATATCCTAAATGGATTACCTCAGCAATATCAGTCGTTCAAGACTACCGTTAGAACCATGGTGACACCACTAAGTCCTGATCAAATCTACTCTCTGCTCATAAGCGAAGAGATCCACATTGCTTCCGACACAGCTTAGTTCTTGGCTCATGCTGATCCATCTTAAGCACTGTTCACAAACAGCCTGCGGCTGCAACCGAGCAAAATCTCGCTTCACACCAAACAACAATAACAATTCTCGTGAACATTCCGTCACAGCTCCGCCCATATGCCAAATATGCTCCAAGAAGGGACATACGATGCTAGACTGCTGGCATAAACAGAACATGGAATATGCTCCAAGAATGGCCAAACCTCGAAACAGGGCAATGGTGGCTGATACCTCGACACAGTACACTGACTGGTATCTGGACTCCGGGGCATCCTCCCACATGACCAGAAATATGGACAATATGTCCACTGCAACACCATACAGTGGTCATGATGGAGTCATCGTCGGTGATGGGAGCTCGGTTAGCATCGAAAACTCTGATCGTGGGTTGCTACCGACTCCCTCACGTAAGCTTATTCTTTCTCAAATCCTGCACACTCCCTCTCTACATTATAATCTTTTATCCATATCCCAGCTAACTAAGGATAATAATATATCCATAACTTTTAATCCAAATGGTTTTGTATTTAAGGATTTACATAACAATCAAGAAATCCTTAGGGGACCGTGTCAAGACGGGCTCTATCTGTTGCGAACTCCGGCTATCTCCCAACCTCAACGAGCGCTTACATCCTAATACCATAACACTAGCTCGGATAGCGTCTACAAATTCGCATTTACGTATCACTAGTCATTCTTTTTCCTGTCATTCTTGTAACAAATCCAAAAATCATAAACTTGGGTTTGAACATGTAGCTACCAGGCAATCGTCTATTTTACACTTACTGCATTTCGATGTATGGGGACCGGCCCCGGTTCCCTCACACACGGGCAAGCTTTACTATGTGATTTTTGCAGACGACTACTCTCATTTTACCTGCCTTTTTCTTATGACAAGGAAATCATAAGTTTTAGAGATTTTTGTGCAATTTAAAACTAACATTGAGAATGTTACATCTCAAAGAATTAAGTGCATTCGCACAGACGGCGGAGGAGAATACTCCAGCGCAGCTTTCACACAATTTCTTAACAAGAATGGCATCTCTCACCAACTATCATGCCCCTACACGCCTGAGCAAAACGGTGTGGCAGAAAGAAAGCACATGCATCTCATTGAGACGACAAGAACTCTACTTGACTCGGCCTCAATCCCATATCAATACTGGCAGGACACTACGCTAACTACTAACTATCTTATTAACATAATGCCTTCACTAGCTAATACTAACAACTTATCTCCATTTGTATTATTTCATAACAGGAAACCAAATTACAATGAACTTCGTATTTTCGGATGTGCCTGTTTTCCTCACACTCCGGCGCAATTCAGGAACAAATTGTAATCGAAGTCTCCTGTATGCATATTTCTGGGATACTCTCAAAGGCATAAAGGGTACAAGTATCTCAATATTAGCACTAACAAAATCATAATATCCAGAAATGTGTTGTTCGACGAACAACATTTTCCATTCACCAAGCAAGAGCAGGTTAAACCAATACAGTCACCTGAAGTGTCTCAGTTCTTTCTCACGCCAACATCCCTTTTACAACAGTCCTCAGTTCCTCCTCAACCTACAACAAGCACAAATACTATACCGCACTTCATCTGCCAATGACTCACCTGAACAAATCATTCCAAACACTGAAATACAGACAATAAACATCACCACCTCCGACCATGCTGGACATCCTATGCAAACGCGCCAGAAAAATGGTTCGCTAAAGCCTCGCGCTCGTCTCAACCTATTTCATAAGCATCCAGATAATCCTATTAATAAAGATCCCACATCATTCCACGATACCAACAAACATCCAGAATGGAGGAGGGCCATG